CTGGGCTTTAATGCCAAGTGAGTCTTTATTAGTACAGGAATATAGTATAGAAAATTTATATTTAGTCTAAATGTAAAGTTCTGGTATTTCCGATTTAAATAATAAAGGCAGAATCACCAAAAAAAATAAAAAATAAAAAATAAAATTCATTATTTTGTTACACAAAGAGGTGACCTTCATGTTACACTCGATCTTAAATTTGTCACAATACCCTAGCATTATAGTAATAGCACTATAAAATAAATTCCTAAAATTTTATATTACACTTGATCTTTATATTACACTGCAGCTGTATAATTTAATTGGTAAAAATTTATTATGGTATCGAATACCAAGTATATAGTATGATTTAGTAAAAACCGAAATGAAATTTACCTAAATTTAATTTGATTAAAGTTTAAAAAAAAATTTATTAATATATAGTTTTTATTTTAACGCCAATCGGATCAAATTTAAAAAACAAAAATTCTACTGATTTATATAATTATTAATAAAATAAAAAAAAAAGCTCATGAAATTTGGCTAGATAAATGTTGAGATATATATATTTTTTTTTTCTGAGAAGGCACAATTACGATAAATATTGTAGGGATCATGTTTTTTTCCAGAAAAAGGTTTTCAAAAAATCATACGATTATTTTTTGTTGTTCAATAAGCAACTGGGAGAATGCTCTTCACCTAATACTGTATTCTCTTAAATGCATATCGTGTAACGTTGTTACAAGTCTTGAAGGGACATACGCGTGAAACATTTATATGTACAACAATAGTATAACAAATTTATTAAAAAGCTTTAAACTTGTCGCGTATCTTTACCACCCTGAGGAAACTCAAATAAGCTCTCACCTTATACTTAATACAATATGGAAGGAATGAATATCCTAGAAAATTGTTTTGATACAGAATGGGTATGTAATTCGAATGAGGCAGTTAAAATTAGGTTTGGTATGTATAAAGAAAATCCATCGAAATTCGTTAAAGCTAACTAATTTCCAGTGTAGTTTTAATAAACTTCTGTTTTACTAGTTCAACCATTATCTGTATCAGATTACGAAAACGACGAAACGAAGGTTAAAGAGTTTTCACCTGAATTTACGTACCCAATATTTGGTGACAAGGAACAAATTTTTGGCTACAAAAATCTGTCAATTAAGGTTGCGATTGTAATTCCTCTTCTTCCTCTTACAAATACAGTTGGTGACAGCTTTAAATATTTAGAAAACTAATTATATGATGTTATTTTGATCAAATTGATCGTTCAGTTATATTACGCGTCTGGTAGTCTGACAACATATTTTGATGTAACATATGACAGAAAGGTTCCATTGGCTGATAATGTAGTAGAAAGGATCAAAGAATTCATACCTAATGGTAAAAGAAATCATAATTTTATCAAAATTTTGTATTTTTTTTT